CTCCCCCTGCTTGTGTTCCCTCTCTCGCTGTCTCTCTCTCTGTCAAATAAATAAATAATATCTTAAAAAAAAGAAAAGAAAGAAAGAAAGAAAAAAAAAGACCAATTCTGCAGATAGACTGCCAGTATTTAAATCCCTCTACTTACTAAGGGCATCAGGCTGGCTCAGTCGGAGGAGCATGTGACTCTTGATCTTAGGGTTGTGAGTTTGAGCACGTTGGGAATAGAGATTACTTAAATAGATAACTTTTTTTTAAAGATTTATTTTTTTGACAGAGACACAGTGAGAGAGGGAACACAAGCAGAGGGAGTGGCAGAGGGAGAACAGGCTTCCCGCTGAGCAGGGAGCCCAATGTGGGGCTCGATCCCAGGACCCTGGGATCATGACCTGAGCCGAAAGTAGTTGCTTAACCGACTGAGCCATCAGGCACCCCTAAATAGATAATTTAAAAAAAGAAAATCCTTCTACCTACTAACTGTAACATTGATAAGTAGCTTAATCTCTCTATGACTCAGTTTCATCATATGTAAATGGTCATATTATTAACAGCTGCTTCACAGGGTTGTTATAAGGAGTAATTAATTAATTAATTCTTGGAGTTAATAGGTGCAAAGGGCCTAGAACTGATCCTGGTGCATAGCAAATGCTTTATAAAAGTTAGCTATTATCATCATCATCCTGCAAGCCTCAGGGAGCTTGCAGTGTAGTGTGAGTATTAAGATGTCTGTAATTTCAGAACTGGGCAGAAAATGGTCATTTCCATTGAATACATTTTTCTCCTTTGAAAGCCCTGATTCCTCTTCCCACTTTTTGACCTTGAAGACTCCCCATGGTTTTATCCTTGCATTATTTCTTCTCACTGTTAAACTCTTTCATTCCTCTGTTAGACTCACGTGATTTCAAACATCACCTCTGTGCCAAGAATTCCCAGATCATCATCTTCATTCCTGACCTCTGAGTTCCAGAAGTAAAATACCCTTGATGTCTGGCACCTGAATTCAATTCAGAAGTTTTCTCCTTCACCCTGCCTCTTCCATTTCTAATAAGCACCACTCCCAATTCTCTGATTATTTAATGGTACGATATTGTCAAGCTAAAAACCTAAAACCAGTGGCTCTCAAACTTTAGTGTGCAATAAGCATACGTAGGGAGCTTATTACAATTGTTATTCTCTGGGCCCCATCCCACTTCCATTGAATGTGAATCTCTGGGGAAATTAATCTTTCAACTAGTTTCCTGGTCTTTATTCTCTCACTTTCAAACTCAGACCCACTGCCTCCAGAATGATCTTGAGACAGAAGCAAAAGCATTCCAGTGTGTTCCCTCCCAGAAATAGGGTCTAGCCAGCAGAACCCTAGACCGGTGGAAGAGTAGCACACAAATTGGGCAGAAGCAGAGCAACGTTCTGCAGAATGAGCATATAAATCAGTGAAAATTTTCATTTCTCGCCAATAGACCCACATACACACAGACCCATTCCTTTGTCTTCCTTCCTCAGGTATGTGTTACAGGACGGGAGCCCATATATGCGCTCCATGAAGCAGATGACAAAGGAGAAGCTGAAAGCAAGGCGCAGCAGAACTGCATTTGAAGAAGTAGAGGAAGACCTGAGGCTCTCTCTTCACCTCCAGCCCCAGGATTCTGTCAAAGATGCAGTGCCAGATCAACAGTTAGATTTCAAGCAGCTCCTGGCCCGCTATAAAGGTAACGCGTTTCCTGGGGGAATATTACAGTTATGCCAAAGATAACCAGTGATCCAGAGGAAGAAAAACGTGGCTCTTGTCTCATAGCTACATTGTCTTAATTCATCAGAACAACCTTTGACTTAGAAGAATAGCAGTTCCAAAAAAAAAAAAAGAAAAATAGCAGTTCCAACACATATTAGATGTAATTGTTACTGTATTTACCAGCAGGTTTTTTTATTATAAAAGATGTGTTTATTATAGAAAAATTGGGAAATAGTGAAATATAAATATATTCTTCACTATTTTATAACTTTTTATTTTGATATGATTGCAAATTCAAAATTAAAGTTGGCAGGGGGCGCCTGGGTGGCTCAGATGGTTAAGCGTCTGCCTTCGGCTCAGGTCATGATCCCAGGGTCCTGGGATCGAGTCCCGCATCGGGCTCC